TGAGGGATCTAGGCTGCATGCTCCTTATGAGAATCTAATGCTTGATGATTCACTGTCTCCCATCATCCCCCAGATGGAACTGTTTAGTTGTAGGAAAACAAGCTCAGGGTTCCGGCTGATTCTACATTACAATGAGTTGTATAATTATTTCATTATATGTTACGATATAATAGCAATAGAAGTAAAGTGCACAATAAATGTAATGCGCTTGAAACCAATCCCCACCACCAGTCTGTGGAAAAATTATCTTCCACGAAACTGGTCCCCGGTGCCAAAGAGGTTGGAGACCACTGCTGGTATACGGTAAGTCATCACTTAACATCATCATGGATTCTTGGAAACTGTAATTTTACGCAAAACAACATATAGCATGTCCTTGACTAATGTCTTTCTTCCATAATGATAAGGGAAATAAATTGGTTTCCTTCTAAGTTGTTTCACTTAAGTCACAGTTTCCAAGAACCTATAGTTCACGTTAACTGAGAATTTACTGTACTTAAAAATGTGCTAAGAGGATAAATCTTATGTTAAGTGTTATCATAAATATACATTTTATTGACCCTGGTTGTCTCTTAGCAAACAATTTGTGTCCGGGTTTCAATCTGAACCATCCAAATTATGGTTGAGTGAAAAGGTCATTTTTCCTTAAAGAGATGAATTGGTTTAAACCAACCAAACATGCAAGGGAGAACTCTATACAGGATAATCTGATTAAACCTACCTTCACATCGAAAAACTTCACAATCCTGAATAGAAATAGTACAATTTTGAACAAGTCCAAGATCTTCCGTTGTCTTTGAGCCCATAATCACTTTTCTATTTCTTAACTCTATCTGGAAATTAGTTGTGGAGTTATATTTTACATTGTCATGACAAAACAGTCTTTCTGGTGTACATAGTCCTAGTTTCCATTCTGAAATTTTAGTCTCTTGTAGTGCAAAAAGGATGATGGAGGCAGCCTTTCTTTCCTGGTAACTCTCTTCTGCATATGCTCCAATAATACGATGTTCACCATAAATCACTGTTAGAGTAGGCCCTTGATTACAACATCTGTCAAGTAAAGCTCCACTACAGAATCCATGGACACTACCCTTATAGAGAAGGCTAAGCCGCTTTCCTCCAAAATGATTTTGCAGGATCTTTTCATGCAACCATGCCAAACGAGTTGTCACTGCCATACTTCTTGATCTAGTGGCAAATCAGATATATTTTCCATTAAATATTAAGAAACAGATAATATATACTGTTATAAACCTTGCATTTATGCCTCTTACATATTCTACATAACATAAAAAATGACAAAACAAAGGATGAACAGAAAAATCATTAGCTAATTTTTTCCTATAAATCATTGCTTTTTAAATTAAAACAGAAACAGAGACTGGCAAGTGACACTGTCACCTAAGAGAGAGAGAAAGAGAGAGACTAATGTCAGCTAGGAAAAAGGAAAAGCAGAAAGACATTTACCTGTTGTAGTGTCTGTAGTATCAGCTAGAGCTGAGGGTAGCTGCTCTGTCTGGATAGCTGGGCAGGCACAAAATGGGCAAAGGAAATTATTCTGCAGCCTTGAAGTTTCAAAGACTCAGAGAAAGGAAACTGAAACTCAGTATGCCCAGCCCACTTGACAGCATGCCAACTTCTCTCAACAAAGGAGCATAAGCTAATCCAGCTTTTAGACAGTAAATTTATATAAAAAATAGTATTGAAAAAATCAAGGAATTGAAGTCAGAGGGAAGAAAACATAACAGCTCACTGACTTTTAAAAAAATCTTTTTATTTAAGGAAAATGCAACCAATTTCTGTATATGGACATACAAAAAGTATTGTGTATTCTACCTCTAGAATATGTATCTCAAATTAATTTAATCTCTTAATCCCTGCTATCAATTAATTCTGCACTAGTATACTTCCTTATATAGAATGTTATTTTAGCCTCCACATTTGTTCCTCTGTTTTTCTACTTGCCCCCTCTCTTCTCACCACAGGAAAATGAGGAGACTTCATTTATAAGACATAAAACAACCCATGTCAATTTCACAATAAAGCCCCTTCTCTAACTTCACATTGCTAAGGATCATAAATTTGTGTCCTATAGGCAGAATTCAATCTGCAAATTTGTTTTGTAGGGCCAATGCAATACCTTTATATTTTTTAATTTTTGAATGTGAATGCTTTTATATCATTGGGCATCCACTCTCCAGTCCTCCTTTGTCCCCTCTTGCTTTATGCCTGACTGGTTCTAACAAATTTAAATTGCCTGCCTGCCCTAAAAAGGTTTTTTTAATTTGCTGGCCCTATTAAAACCAATAGCACCATCAAATGAAAATATTTTAAGCAGCTTATGGGGTACTATTTACTTTGCTTTAAAAATTATAATATTATAGACTTATTATTCGTAAGGTAATTTACATGCATCCCATGTGTTTATTTTAATAACTTTTTGATGAAGACACCAATATTATTGCCACTTTCAAATAAATAAACAGAGTTTTGGAGTGTAAGTGAGAAAAAGAGGAGGAATAGGAGTGATGAGGGAAGAAATCTCCTGCTTTAGACAGTATAATCAGGAAAGGTCTATTTAATGAGATGTCACTGGAGAAGTGTCCTGAATGGAGTGAGAGGGAGTACCATGAAAATATCTAGGAAAAGAGCTTTATAAGGAGAGAGAATGGCAAGGATAATCACCCCTGTGGCAGCTTGTTGCAGTAAGAAGCTTAGTATGGTTGGAGCAGAGTTAAGTTTGGATAATGGCAGTGAACAGAAGAATGCAGGAATCAGATAGAGATAATTGAATTATGGGGGCAATTCTGATCATAGTGAGTTAGTTCTTACAATATCTGATGGTTTTATAAAGGGCTTCCCCTTTCTCTGGGCACTCATTTCTCTCTTCTGCTGCCACGTGAAGAAGGACAAGTTTGCTTCCGTTTCCGACATAATTATAAGCTTCCTGAGGCCTCCTCAGCTCTTTCCTTTATAAATTACCCAGTCTCAGGCCGTTCTGTATAGCAGTGTGAGAACAGACTAATACAGTAAATTGGTACAGAGGGAGTGGGGCACTGCTATAAGGATTCCCAAATGTGGAAGCGACTTTGGAACTGAGTAACTGGCAGAGGCTGGAACAGTTTAGAGGACTCAGAATAAGAGAGAAAAATGTGAGAAAGTTTGGAATTTCCTGGAGACTTGGAGGGCTCAGAAGACGGGAAGATGTGGGAAAGTTTGGAACTTCCTAGAGACTTGTTGAGTGGCTTTGAACAAAATGCTGATGGTGATATGGACAATAAAGTTTAGGCTGAGGTGGTCTCAGATGGAGATGAGAAACTTGTTGGGAATTGGAGCAAAAGTGACTCTTGCTGTGTTTTAGCAAAGAGACTTGGCAGCATTTTGCCCCTGCCCTAGAGATCTATGGAACTTTAAGCCTGAGAGAGATGATTTTATGTATCTGGCAGAAGAAATTTCTAAGTGGCAAAGCATTCAAGAGAAACCAGAGCATGAAAGTTCAAAAATATGTAGGCTGACTGTGGGATAGAAAAGAAAACCCCATTTTCTGAGGACAAATTCAAACTAGTGAGAAGTTTGCATATGTAACAAGAAATGGAATGTTAATCACCAAGACAATGGGAAAAATGTCTCAAGGGCATGTCAGAGATCTCATGGCAGTCCCTTCTATCACAGGCCTAGAGGCTGGTTTCCTGGGCTGGGTCCAGGGACCTGCTGCTCTGTGTAGCCTCGGGACTATGTCCCGGCCGCTCTAGCCATGGCTAAAAGGGGCCAATGTACAGCCAGGACGTTGCTTGGGAGGGTGCAAATCCCCAGCCTTGGCATCTTCCATATGGTCTTGGTCCTATGGGTACACAGAGAACAAGAACTGAGGTTTGGGAACTTCTGCCTAGATTTCAGAAGAGGTATGGAAACACCTGGATGTCCAGGTAGAAGTCTGCTGCAAGGGCAAAGTCCTCATAGGGAACCTCTGTTAGAGCAATGTGGAAGGGAAATGTGGGATCAAAGAGTCCCCACTAGGGACCCCCACGCAGAGTCCCCACTAGGGCACTGCCTAGCGGAGCTGTGAGAAGAGGGTCACTGTCCTTCAGATCCCAGAGTGGTAGATACACTGACAGCTTGCACTGTGTGCCTGAAAAGCTGTAGAAACTCAATGCTAGCTGTGAAAGCAGCTCAGGTGAGGGTGCTGTATCCTGCAAAGCCACAGGGACAGAGCTTCCCAAGGCCCTGGGAGCCCATCTATTGCATCAGTGTGACCTGGATGTAATACATAGATTCAAAGGAGATCATTTCAGAGCTTTAAGCTCTGACTGTCCAGCTGGATTTCAGACTTGCATGGGGCCTGTAGTTCCTTCGTTTTGGCCAATTTCTCCCATTTGGAATGAATGCATTTACCCAATGTCTGTACCCTCACTGTATCTAGGAAGTAACTAACTTGCTTTTGGTTTTACAGGCTTATAGGCAGAAGGGACTTGCCTTGTCACCACTGAGACTTTGGGCTGTGGACTTTTGGGTGAATGCTGAAAATAGTTAATATTTGGGGGGACTGTTGGGAAGGTGTGATTGTGTTTTGAAATGTGAGTACATGAGATTTGGGAAATGGTCAGGGGTGGAATGATATGGTTTGACTGTGTCCCCACCTAAGTCTCACCTTGAATTTTAGTTCCCATAATCCCCATTTGTTGTAGGAGCGACTAGGTGGAAATAATTGAATCTTGGGGACAGTTTCCCCCATCCTGTTCTTATCATAGTGAGTTAATTCTCATGAGATCTGATGGTTTTATAAGGGGCTTCCCTCTTTGCTAGGCACTCATTTTTCTCTCCTGACACCACATGAAGAAGAAGATGTTTGCTTCCCTTTCCACCATGATTGTGAGTTTCCCGAGGCCTCCCAGCTCTGTGGAACTTTGAGTCAAATTAAAACTCTTTCCTTTATAAATTACCCAGTCTTGGCCAGTTCTTTATAGCAGCATGAGCATGGACTAATACAGTATTCATTTGAAATGTCTACAGTTATATCATGCACATGAATCACTTTTTTCTCTCTCTCTTTCTGACCTTCTTGGCCATGGGAATTTGATAATCCCTTCTCTATAAATCTAACACTGATCATCTCTCTGATAGAAGGGGGTCTCATACACTCAAAGCACCATAAATTAATTTATCTTTGTATGCTTATTTAAATTGCAGCAATCCATTCACATGTTAATTCCTTCTTTACCACTTCATCAAAACAGAAGACAAATGAGCTCAGTGACTTGAACATATGTTTCTTTGCATTTATTTAAAAAATCTGTCAGGTATTGTCATGAAATGTGCAAAAGAAATCAATTTTTAAAAACGAAAAAATAGATTTACACATAATTGTTTAGCACAGCTTGTTACTTGACCTCCCCATCTCTACCCCATACCCTCAATTTTTGCAATTTTGCTTACACTGCACTTCCTGTCTTGGAGCCTGAAACAGTTTGAGTCTATTTGCTTGAATTGTGTTGAAGAAGGAAGTGGGATTGCAGGAGGGTGCAACTGAATATTGACTGTATTTCCACATCTATGATTTCACTGGCCCAAGTGGCCTGCATTTTCTCCAACATCAGAGAAATATTTTACGAGGGTTTACAACTGGTATGCAGGTTTTTATCTTCCTTACATTGATGGCAAAAATTAGATCTATTTAGTCTACTGTCCTCCACAAATTGGTCCATAAACTCATCAGATTAAGAATGGGATTTGAGGGCTTCCAAATTTCCATGGCTTTTGGTTGCAGGACCCCCTGAAGACTTTGATCAGCCTTGCCATCTTGTGGGTACCTTAGCGTTAGATTGAGTTATGTTGCTAAAAGATAATTATTCATCAGCTGATCATTAAGCATCCGGGGCTTACTCAGCTCCCCCTATCAATTTGTGTCAAAATAAATTAATTGTGGACCTGTCTTGTTTTATGAGAAAGCAATGTGATAGTCTTTAAATTTATCTTTCTAAACAAAATACAGGTTTACACATTACCCAGCACAGTAACTCCTCTTGATATTCTTGACCTAAAAGGAAGAAGTGTAGGAAAAACTGATATAAGTAGAGAGGTTACTTGGGCCAAGCATGAGAGTTACAACCCAACTGCATGGAGTCAAGTTGCCCTGAACAATATGCATTCCTATTAGCAACAGTTACAAGTAGGTTTTCAAAGAAAAAGAAGAGGCAGTTCCTAACTTATTTACCATGAATTTATATTAAAACAGCATAAGCTATCAATTGGCTATAAATTGCTCTCTGAATCAAATTCCAAGAACATGAAGATAACGGGCAAGGCAACTAGTCAGGAACAAAATGGCATTAAACAATTGCCCCAAGCTATGGTTGTGGAGGGGCACTGTGGCACACAGGAAGCAAGACTAAAGGACCATACTTATGTCTCTCTGGGCCTGCATATCTCACAGAACTCAAACTGCTCTATTTTTCTTTTCTCAATATTTTATTGAGGTAGATAGTGGGTGAATTTGCACAAAGCTACAAATTCCTATTGGAAGAGTCACTTTCTAATGTAACAACCTAACCTACCCATGCACACCACAAAGACTCTAGCACTGACATTTCAACTGTCTCCACAACATCACTCTCATTTTAGGATGATATTCTACCTCCCAACACACTTATAGTTCATCTGCTATACTCCTTAGCACTGTCTTTGACTGAGCTCTACAGCTTGCTTAACTGTAAAGTATGTAAAGTTTCAAAAATCCTGGATGACCTCTAAAATGTAGCAAAACGATAATTCCCACTACCACTCAGGTTGGTAGAGAAAGATCAGGGAAATCCACAAAATGGAAAATATCCTCCCAGACAAAAGATGTTTCCCCTTTTTGAGGCCTCCTCACCAATATTTCCTAACCTAAATTTCAAATATGTATTTAACTCCATTTGATGTTTAAGTGTTTCCAAAGCAATATAGAGCCAGAGGATAAGAAGCTGTGGTATCATTGTTATGCACGTCTGTGTGAAGAGACCACCAAACAGGCTTTGTGTGAGCAATAAATCTTTTTAATCACCTGGGTACAGGCAGGCTGAGTCCAAAAAGAGAGTTAGCGAAGGGAAATAGGGGTGGGGCCGTTTTATAGGATTTGGGTAGGTAAAGGAAAATTACAGTCAAAGGGGGTTGTTCTCTGGCAGGCAGGGGTGGGAGGGATCACAAGGTGCTCAGTGGGGGAGCTTTTGAGCCAGGATGAGCCAGGAAAAGGAATTTCAAAAGGTGATGTCATCAGTTAAGGCAGGAACAGGCCATTTTCACTTCTTTTGTGGTGGAATGTCATCAGTTAAGTCAGGAACCAGCCATCTGGATGTGTACATGCAGGTCACAGGGGATATGATGGCTTAGCTTTGGCTCAGAGGTCTGACAGTCATTTTGCTAATACTGTCCATTTTAGCACAAAAAGGAGAACTTAGTGTCAACATTTATGCTCCTAAAGGATGTTGGGTCAAATTAAATGTTCCTCATTGTTTCTCTTTCTTGATCTCTCCTTTACTCCTTCTCTTCCTTGCAGGGTCTCCATCTCCTTCATAAGGGCACACTCTGTTACCCCTTTAAACAAAATAAAAAGTCTTACATTCTGCCCAGATTTTTTTCAGGCTCCATCAAAGGAATGGGTGAATTATGATCCAAAAGTTGGTGAGGATGATGGTTAGCCTTCAATCACCTTCAGTCTCCCAACCAACAATGGCCAAGGCTTGGTTTTTCCCTGGATTACATGGAGAAAATCATGCCCTACTTTTTGGACCCGTTGCTTCCACATTTGTATGGTAACTGTGAAACCATCCTAATGAACAGCAAACATTAACCACTAAATTAAAGGTAGA